AAAAAAAAAAAAAGTAAGGAAGGATCAATCAATTTAAAAAGGCTATGTACATATCAAAGACCCAAACAGGAAAAGATATAAACAAAATAATTCAGAAAGATTAGAGAGAGAGAAAAGAGAAGGGGAATGTGTTATCTTGTTTAAAAAGAGTCCATTTTTACTTTCATATTAATAATTCTCTTTTTCAGCTGTAAATGAAATATGGTTTCTACAAAGTCAACAACTAGACAGTTATCAAGTCCATTTTTTTCCTTTCTACCTGTTATTCTTATCTATAGCCTGAAAGAAATTATAATTGTCAAGAGAAAAAAACTAAATATTATGCCTCTTACACAAGGATGTCCTCCACCAGGGTGTGAAGGGCACTGGGATTTCGGATCAGTTTGTCAAGGAAGCTGACGATGTCAGTAAATTTTGGTCTGTGATTTCTCTCCTTCTGCCAGCAATGGAGCATCAGTTGGTGTAGAGATGCTGGACAGCCCATGGGAGCTGGAAGTCTGTACCCTTCTTCAATGGACAGAATGACCTAAATGCAAACATATACAGATTACTCTCTTATTTTTAGGCAATAATACATATGCTATGTCATCATTTCTTTTTATACAAGCAGTAGAAGCCAAAATAATGGTAAGCATGAGAACTACATGAGTATAAGGACTTAAAGAAGGATAAATACAAAAGCTGTGAACAAAAATTTCAAGCAGCTCTGAAGCATCTCTCACTCCTATGAAAGGAAAACATGTTTTGAACATGTGCTACCAGTGTACCGGAGGTTCAGTTCATTACAACCTTAAGAAACAATTTTTTGTGTGACTTAGCTGGAACATCTCAAAATCCAATTAGAACATCAGAAAGTCAGTATTGTGATTGATGCATTTAGTGCAAATCACATGCAACAAATGCCTTAAGTAAAAATTTTAAGAAAAATTCTGCTGAAGCACTGATTTCCTGAGCCACGTTTTACCCTTTTATAATAATGCCATTGTGTATTCTGTTTCTTTTGTCATCTTGATTTAATTCCTATTCTCTGACATTTAGCTTTCCTTTAGTCTGACGCTGACCTGATTATGAAGTCACCCTCCTATAACTCCTAAGGTCATTTAATCTTTAAAATGCTATCACTGGCTAGCTTAAGGCTACAGGGAAATGGGAGCATTAGCTTGGGTATCCTCTGAGGCAGTGTGCTCAGGCAGAACTTCTGTGATGGCAGAAATGTTCTCTCTACAGCATGGTGGCACCCAATCACACGTGGTTAGTGAGCACTTGAAATACAGCTACGAAAATGAAGAAACTGAATTTTCAACTTCAGTTACTTTTAATTAATTTAAATGTATATAGCCACATGTGGCTAATGACCATGGAACAGTGCTGCTCTTGGGAAAGGAATCAGCATAAGAGACCAAAGTTAAGACTAACAAGATAAAAATAACTATTTTTCTTGGTACTTAGAAAATCACAAAATAAAGCAGGAAATTCATCTGTTTAGTTATGATCCACCTGTGAAATTCCTAGCAATATGATAATACTGACCCTGAATTTATGTAGCCTAGGTTTTTATAAAATGTTCAAATGTATTCAGGTGAATATTTATTCTTATCTCTGGGAAAAAGACAAAAAGAACATGTTTATTGTCACCATTGTTGAGTTTGGAAAACTGAGGAACAGACTAATATTTAAAGACAGGCAAAATTTAACTTCCCCTTGCCCTGTCTCTCTCAAAAAAACAGAAATATAAAAATGCAATTTGATTTCTTTTTAAATTCACACTATTGAACATGACTCTAACATATTCTTAATTTATGATAGAGGCTGTTTGTGAAAAAGGAACAATAATATGTCTTCAGGAGGCTCTTAACTGCTAAGTTTTAGCATTTTTAGTAAGAGGGGATTTTTCATAATCTCATCATTGTCTTTTTGATCAGACCACGTTAGCCTGTCAGGATGCTAGAATTTTTCTGTTCATTTTATATTTTGTTATTGAACAGGATTTTTCTCATCTGTTTTCTGACTACTTTTACTACCAACTACGTGTGGATTTTAAGACATTTTGTTACACGTTCTATTAAAGGAGGATGTGTGTAAGAAACTTGCAATGCATCAAAACTATCATAGACAGCTTAGAAAAATAACAGAAAAACAGGACAGAATTCCATTATAAAGTAATGTTGAAATCCCACTCTAGGAGTGCTTGATAGTCAATTTTCCAGTTATCTAATTATAAATGCATGGAATAAAATAGATGACAAGTGAGGTTATATTCTTAGGGGAAGAAAAGTAGCTGCCTGTATTGAGTATCCACCATGTGCTATGTGCTTTGCATATTTTTATTCATTTGCTGCTTAAAATAGCTCAACATGGTAGATATTATTATCCCCATTTCTTAAATGAGACAATTTAGACTTAGAGGAGTAAGGAAAGTTGCCTAAATTCACATAGCTGGTAAGTGGCAGGGTTGTAATTTGAATGAAATTCTTTCTAGCTTACAACATTTTCCTCTGACCTCTCCCCAGAACTGCGTTTTAGTTCTCATGATATGACATCTTCCTCTCCAATTTCTTATCACCAATAACCCAATACAATTTTCGTAGTGATTCCCATGCTATCTTTTGTCATGGTATCTGCTATTTAGACTTCAATGTTTTTACTTGGATTATAGGTTTAATATTCTGTGTAAATAAAAAATATTTATTTCATAGTTTGCAAAATATAATCTCAAACTGAATAGTCATTTCTTTCTTTCTTTTTTTTTCTTAAAGGAATCTTGCCCTATCGCCAGGCTGGAGTGCAGTGTTGTGATCTCAGCTCATTGAATCCTCCATCTCCCAGGTTCAAGCGATTCTCCTGCCTCAGCTTCCAGAGTAGCTGAGACTACAGGCGTGCACCACCATGCCCAGCTAATTTTTGTATTTTTAGTAGAGACGGGGTTTCACCATGTTGACCAGGATGGTCTCAATCTCTTGACTTCGTGATCCGCCTCCCTCGTCCTCCCAAAGTGCTGGGATTACAGGGGTGAGCCACCGCGCCCGGCCATAGAGTCATTTCTTAATGCTTCTGAGTCTTGTGTGTGTTTCTATGATTGCATCCATGACAGTGTACAGTAATTTTTTATCTGCCTTTCCACTAAGGCTGTACATACCTACAAGCAGGAATTATATCTCTAAATTTTCTGTGCTTATCTTTTAGTATATTGCCTGACACATTAATAAATATTGTTGACCTTGCTATTACAAGAAATTTTTGGATTTGTCTTGATAGATGAGCAGATTCTTGGAAAACTGTGTCTCAACCTATTCAAAATAAATTCAAAGTATAAGCATGACAGCATTTGAAGTCCTCGCTGAAGGATATATTGATTTAAAAAAACTGCTGCATCAAGCAGCTTGTCCAAAAATGATTTCATAATCTCACTCTGGTTTTCCTGGATAAGGAGCCAGATGAGACTGGAAGCTTGCTCTTCTCTGGGGTAGGTACTTGACCAAAACCCAGCTTCCTATAAGACTTGTGGCTTCTGCCTCCTGTCCAGAGGGTTGCTATTTTCCACTGGTCCCAGCTCCTCAGCTTCAGATGAGTCCTGTGGACAGTTGGCATCCAAATCTAGATTGCTTATGCCTCTTGACAGAGTTGCTCTCATGCATGCCCTGTGAGAGTGACAAGAGGGTGAGCTCCCTTGCCTGGAAACTTTACCCACAATGTGTCCAGTAGAGAATGTGGTCCTGGCCTCTCCATGGGGACGGGGAGAGGGTCAGAAGACTCATGACTTTTCTTACTGCTGACCTATGGCTTTTCAATTTCCTCAATTCGTTAACTTGTGACCTTGTGAATTTTGTCTTGAGCTCTGGCTCATGACAGGAGCCAAACACAAAGAGACCCATCTTATAGGAAAACTGTAACAATAACAACAATAGTGACAGTGATAAAATCTTGATAGCAAGTGTTGGGAGCCCTTAAGTATTTTCGAGGCCAGTTCTAAACGATGTTTATGTGTTAATTCTTTTAATCCTCACAATAACTTTATGAGGTAGGTATAATTGTTATCTCCATTTTACAGACAAATAATCACAAAGAGGTTTAACTTGCCCAAGATCACGCATCTGAAAATTCTGCCTTCAAAGATAAAGAAGAAATTTATATTTTTTAAGCAATTCACAAAAATTCTTAAAAGATATATCTTTCTAACAGATTTTTAAATTTATTCATCCAAACAGATAGATATTAAACACTTAATTGTACTACAGATCATGCTGTGTTCAAGTGATAACATAATAAGTCAGGTATATCTCGTCTTTAAGTAATAAATTATCTATTGAGAGTGACCAGGGACTATGAATGAGAAGTGCCACATAGAACAGGCTGTTATGGGGGCATGTGGGAGAGGTACCCAACCCAGCTTTAGGAAGCCTTCTCCCAGGAGGTGACTGAACCTTAAAGGGTATGTGAAAGGGTCAAGTGGATGGGTTCCGGAAAGGAGATGTGATTAGAATGCAAGTAGATTTCTGTGACCAGTATATAGTCTTTGAAGAGAGGAATGGTGAGATTTGAGGTTGGGAGGTTAAGTAAAATTATGTTAGACTTTATGCAAAGGGGAAAAGGATTTTAGCAAGTGCATTACATTAGATTTCCCATTTAGAAAAGCTCACTGTGCCTGCAGTATAGAGAGTACACTGGTGAGTCAAGGGATCCAGGAAGGAGCTCTGCAGTGATCCAGGTCTTAGTGGAGGCAATGGCTGTGGTGTTCAAGAGGTGAACTGATTTGACAGGACTGGGCTGAGATTAGATGTGTCAAGTAGAGGGAGGACGGGAGACAAACAGCTTCTAGGATTTTGTCTTCATCAGCTGATAATAAGAGAGGACAGAGGAGAAGAAGCAATTCTGGGGCTGGGGTGATGATGAGTCCAATTTCCTATGAACTTTCTGGTTTCAGATTCAACATATATACCTTTGAGAGTTTATTATGTGTCAAGTTCTGAGCTAGGTGTCTTAACACAGTTTATCCAATTTAGGTCTCAAAATACTTTATTATTTGAGTATGATTATACATATCTTGTAGGTAAGAAAACCAAAGCTCAAACTGATTAAAAGATTGGGCCAAGATCACATAGCAAGGAATTTCATGAATAATAGATTCATATAATCATGGTAGCCCCGAGATCACAGTAGTGGTAGAGAAAATCTGTCCTGAGTCTTGTACCCCATCTCCGACTCATTCACCCAGAATTACATCGTGAGGTCTCTTTGTGTGACTTATAGACTCTGTGCTTTCACTATCACCTATTTGCTTATGACCTCCATGTCTGCAGCTCTTGCTCAGCTCTGTCTCCAGATTTCGATATTTATCACCTATAGGATATATCACTTCATAAAGGTGTCCTGGGTTTATTTTGTGCAAAACTAAACCCACTCCCGCTTTGGGATTTTTGTCCTTTGGGAAGGCTACCACCATTCTTCCAGTGATTCAAGTCAGTGGTCAGGGAGTCATCTGGGCCTCTGACTTTCCTGTTGCTCAAAATTAACTCATGATGCTGATTC